ATGTTGTGTACTTCGTTCTAGTTACGTATTATGTTGATTGTCAGGCAGACTAGGAGGCTTTGAGAAAATTAAAATCGAACCTGCACTTTCAATTTTGTATTTTGTTTTAAAAACGAATTCAATCGGCCAGAGGTGATTTGATATTATTTTGGTAATATTTCTTACAAGCTACATTACTTTTAATAGGATTATTTTATCATTTGCTTCAGAAACAAATTGGTTTTCGGATTTCTTTTCAATAAATGCTTCCATAGCATGAAATTAACATGATCATCCTGATTTACTATTTTATAAAACATACCCAAGCAGAATATGGCAACATTATCTTTGGTATATGTCAAATTATAACTCAATCTAGGAATCTTAAAAATTTTCTTTTTTGTCGAAACTTATGAGGTATCAATAACTATTTTGGATGGTTTTTCAATTCATACGACTAAACTGTCAGCTGTAAAACGCTATTGTAAAATGTGGCAAACTCTTGAATAAAAAGAGACATTAAAAGTCAACATTTTTACTAGTAAAACAGTAACATAAATTAAACAGTTGACATAAATTGGGATTGATTGACGCATTCAATTGTTTTAGTTCACCTCCTGTTTCACCGGAAATGACTACAAGTTGTGATTTTTAAATCACAAGTTCACCTTCGGTATTTTTTTACTTCATTTGGTAGATTTGATAGAATGATATATCATATATCAACTATTCACATTTTTAATTATAAAAAATAGCTTTTTAAATTTAAATTTAGAGTGCCATGGCCGTAAATGTAACGATAGTTTGACTCAAAATACCTAAAAAAATGTGTGGTACTAAATTATGCCTAAAAAATATTTTTCCAAATATGCTAATGACCTTTTTCTTTTCCAAATATGTCACCCTCGTGTCATTTGAAAAAATTGAGTTATAATTAAAAATACAATTTGAGCATCTTTTAATCGGCCAGTACAAAACACGAAAAATATTTAGACGATGAAATCTATTTTTCCAACGCTCTTTGATTAAAAATTAGTGTTTTTAACATAGCCATGAAATTATAGATTGAAATTTAAAATACGATTTTTTAACTGAGAATGTCAAAAGTTGACTTATGATATGCCATTCTAGCCAGAGTGTCATTTTCTAAAAATAAAGTAGAAAAAATACCGAGAGTTAATTATTTAAAAATCAAAAGTTGTAGTCATTTCCGGTGGTGAAACAGGAAGCGATTGAAAACAATTGAATACGTAAATCAGTCCTGATCTATGTTATGTACCGAATCTTGTTTATTTATCTATAATAATAGCTCCCGTATATAGAGAAGACCAGGCTAATATAGCAAGTTGCCGGACGAATTTACGTTTACCCGATTTGCGTTCGTATTCGAGATTCACTGTCGGCTAGTCGACTGGTCAGGCAGTACACAGTTGCAGTTGTGCTTGGACGGGTCATTCGTGACAGACTAGGAATACGACGCGAGGAGTGCCGAGTATTTATTATTTTCATTTTAAGCGTTTACCTTCACTTAAGGTAACATTTAAAATAAAAATACTTAAATATTTTTATTTGAGTGTGTTTACAAGCAAAACTAAAAATAAATAAATTCTCTAAACCCCAAAAAAACTAAAATATTACCTACTCTAAATAAAAAAAAAGTTATAACAAGTGTTCAAAAAGACCACCTTCTTGTGCTAGACAGAACGTTGTAAAATCCCCGTCTGACATTGGCTAACATATTAGGGCTAATAGTTTGGAAAGCCTCTCGCATTTTTACTTGAAGCTCATCCAGATTATTAGCCCTATTATGACCATACACTTTGGATTTTACATAACCCCACAAAAAGAAATCATTGGGAGAAAGATCTGGTGCTCTAGCGGGCCACAAAATAGTTCCATATCCACTAATTAAATGGTTGGGAAAAGTATTGTTCAAATATTCTTGAACAATACGGGCATTGTGGGCAGGGCAACCACCTCAGCAATTTGATTACTTGAAAACGTGGGATTTTGATCCGCGGTAGCACAAATCAACACTTGCTTTAACTCCTGTTCTTCATTAATCAACACATCAGGCTTTTTGTGTTTTTGTGGGAACACGCACCCATGTGCTTCAAAATTATTAATAACTCTTGATACAGTAGGTAAAGATGGAATTGGCCTGTCTACAAAAGTTTGTGGAAAAATTGTTTGTATATCCCGATAAGACCTATTTTGGAAATACTATTTTACAATTTGAATTTTCTCACGAACTTACTCGTAAACATCCATTATTTTACTTAAAAAATAAATTTTACACGAGAAAACTGTCGCGAGAATCCATGTATTCCTTTTGGCTATTAAAACACGAATAAATTCAAATTCTGAAACATTCTTATCACATATCTACCTATTTTTATTTTATCGCATTTTTTCGCCTGCTTTTTATCCGGCGGACGGGTATACGCTAATTCGTCCGGTTCTGCCTATGTTACTACTGCGGTGGTCCAGTCTGTATAGCGTTTAATGTCTTGGGAGTGGCAAGGTACAGCTTGCCATACTAGAGCCGTTCGGTATACAAGGAAGGTAATGTGGCTAGCACTACGCTTCAACCGCCTACTATTACCTCCGGATTGTGAATCCCAAATACTCATTTAAGGCTGAGTCGACCTAGGTACCCAAACTATTTTTGTTTTAATAAAAATAGTCGGCTGATGAGCTGATGATGAGTGCCGGGTGTAGGATTCGAACCCACGCCACCTACACCATTCTACGCCACCGGGCACCATTCGTTTATTTATCTGATACACTAAAAAAAGTTGTAGAGGTGAGCCACTTTTCAGAAAGACCCGGTATACTTGCTTCGAGTTCTTACTGAGGTAGTCATAGACTTAAAATTAAGTCTATGGAGGTAGTAGAGAAGGTAGATTTTTTTTTCTATTTTTAGTAGGGAAAGTAAGTTTAACCTCTTTCTCAAACCCTCAGTCTTAAAAAGGGTATTATTAGCTTCTGTAGGCAATGGATCTCTAGTCTAGAAAACTTTTTGTCAACTTTTTTTCTTAGATATTTTTTCTCACTACCCTTTCGAGTGCGTGTGTTGCAAATTGAATTCTTAAGATTTAGGCACTGATCTAAGTAAAGAAACTCCTTTTCTGAATACTAATATTTCACTCTTTATTTCTTTCAATTCCATTATTTCTTGGTGACGTGCTATGATGTGCGTTTTATACATACAGGGAGTGGAACAAAATTGTTCGTTTGAAAATAAAAATGTAACGTTAAAATATATCTATGATATGATCTAATTTGTATCGGGCTTAATTAATTGGCCCCAATATACATAGTGAGTTTTCTACGATATTGGCTATGATTCTTGGGAATAACTGGAGATCGGGAGTCGGTGAAATGGGGAAAGAATTGCAGTTTTCTAAGGTCAAATATATGCGCCTTTCGGATTTTTGAAAAAGTCTGTGGCTTACTGGATATTTCGAAAAAACAAATTTCGGATATTTGAAAAAATGCTCCGTAATTCCATTATAATCTATTTTAGACACCAAGTTTTCAGATATATGTATGTTGTAAATAATCACATCCTTAATGAGATTGTGTTCTCCGTTTTTTTAGAGCCTGCCGTTTTTGACATATAACACAAACCTATAGTTTTTAACTGAAACCATATTTGGTCATGGCTTCATAAAAGACTACATTTTTAGACTTTTCAGCGATATAAGCTATGTTTATATGATATAATATGTTTTTTTTTCGAAACATTTCTGAATTCTGTGTACCCATAAAATATTTTGTTTATAGATCTTTCTGTTTTCGTATTATTATCAACCGAGGTGAATATATACCTGCGCCACCCTGTATATATTCTTCTACTATTTTCAGTGTTGTGTTATTTATCAGAATGTCTTTTCTTTCCACTAGTTCGTTGTACATACATTACTTTACTTTTTGCTAAATTTATTTTAAGACCCACTTATTGTCCCAAATAATATATATATATATATATATATATATATATATATATATATATATATATATATTTTGTCATATGTGGAAAATGACAGTCTTTAAAAAAAACGCAGAATCTCATTACGGATGTGATTATCTTTAACTTTTATCTGAAAACTTTTTGTCTAAAATTGATTGTAATGGACTTAGGGAGAATTTTTTAAAATAGCCAAATTTTTTTTTTTCCGAAATATCTAGGAAGCCATAAACTTTTTTCAAAGTCCGAAAGGCGATTATATTTGACCAAAATTGCAAATCTTTCCCCATTTAACAGACTCTCTGGCTCCAGTAGTTTCCAAGATACCAAGATATATAGATAAAAGAACATTGTAGAAAACTCTCTCTGTATAAAAAGTATCTTTCTTAATTCGTCTATAGTCTTACACATAAATAACTAACTGAAAGAAATGAAAAGTCCTATGTTAAAGCTTGGAAACACGCGCTCGCCGCGATCCAAGCGGGCTACTGGCAGAACTAAAGGTTCGCGCCATATTTATAAATGGACCTTTACTGCCAGTTC